CTCCTTCACCTCAGCGGGATCCCAGGCTTGAGCATGGCCATCCAGGGACCCCTTCGGCTTGATAGAGCCTGGTCGCAGAGAAGAAGCCCTGGCCTCGATAGAGCTCTGTATGGTGGATGCACTCTATACAGATACCTTCCCAGCGACTATACAAATAGGAATAGTAACCGCAAGAAACACCCAGTTTATTACTCTAGGGTACTAGGCCCAAAACGAAAAAAAAAACACTGCGCAGTACCCTCCCCAGATCTCTTATCTTTATCTCACCGCCTGTCATTCCCCGCCGTATCCATCCTGCCGTATCCATTTCCACGCGCTATTGATTGCACGACATCTGTATCTGTCGTACATACCCTTATAACTAATACATACACGCTCACACATGCAGATACCGGTAAAACTATGTGGGTGGGGAACCCCACGAACAGCGCTGTGGGAAGGGCGCTGGCGGCTCGGGTGGGTTCCCAGCGTCTGGCCCCCCTGACTGCCGTACGCGTGGACGAGCTGGTTTGGAACCCCGAGAAGAACGTGTGGACGTGCCGTGCGCGGCGGGCTGGAGCCATCAACACTGGCGGTGGTGGCGGCGGCACGGATATTGATGCAGCAGTTGCAAAGTGGGTCTACTAGTGGGTTGCACTGTGTCGGTTGGCTTGTCCGTTGGGGTGTTCGTTGGCGTGTTCGTTGGCTTGTCCGCCCTCTCCCCTCCCCCATCCTCCCTTTCACCTTCCGCATACACACACAGGTTTGCCTCCCTGGACTACTTCCCACCCAGGACCCCCCCCACCCCCCGGGGACCACCCCTCCCCCAAAAAAAGGCTTCAATCCACCACCTTTGATGTGGTGGTCACGGCCTTGAGCAGCGTGTCCACCGCGCGGCTGCTCACCAAGTGCACCACCACCACCACCACCACCACCACCAGTAGCAGCGGTGGCAGCGGTGGCAGTCATGGCAGTGGTGACGGTGACGGTGCTGAGTCAGGTCTGGTTCCGGAGCTGGTGGCTGCGGCCAGAGAGATTCGTTCCAACGTTTGTTGGGCCCTCCTGGTGGCGCTGAATAAGAAAATAGGTGGGTGGGAGGGTGGGTGAGGGGCTAGGCTTACCGTACTGTACACGTGTACCGGCGTGTACGTCTCCTCATGAATTTTAAGGACTGGGGGGTTGTAGTTGGCAGGGCGAGGGGTAGCGGAGTAGCGTGGGGTTCGCACCACCACCACCACCACCACCACCACCACCACCACTGAGTGTGTCGCACGCACAACACGCTCCCTGATGCGCTTTCGCCCACTAGTCCCACACCACCACCACGCTCGCCCGGGAAACATATGACCGTGCGACAGATGTTCCATTCGACGGGGCGCTCCTGAGCCGACCTGATGCCTCCGGGGGTGCCATGGCCCAGTACGGCCCCATAGCCTGGGTCGCACGGGACTCGTCCAAGCCGGGTCGACCCGCCGTGGCGGGAGGTGCGGGGGAGGCGTGGGTGGTGCACGCGGCTCCGGAGTGGAGCAACCTGCGGCGTGACGTGGCGCCCGCTGACGTGGCTGCGGAGCTGCTGCGCGACTTTGCACATCTGGTGCAGGTGCGCAGCGATTGGCAGTTGGCAGTTGACAGTTGAGTTGACGGTTGAGAGCTGCCTCCCTTCGTCCTCCTTGCCTCCTTCCCTTTTCCCCACTCCTTCCCTCACTCCTCAAGGCGCGCAGGCTCCTCCTGTCCCGTGCACCCACATACGTGGGCTTCTGGCGGGCCCATCCCCCAAACACACACACACTCTTTGCGGACTTGTTATCAGCAGTTTATTATTTCCTTCTTATGTACGTGCATATGTGCGCATATGTATACACATGCATGCGGGTAGCTGCCACGGGTGAAGATATACCCCCCTGTTCCACATCATCATACGTACATGTTGTGCCCCCTCCCCCGCCCCCTCTTCTCCCCCCTCCAGACAGATATCTCTCCGGCGGATGTGATCCACCAGGAGGTCCACCGCTGGAACAACGCCTACCCGCTCAACCCGAGACCTCCCAACCCGCCCGAGGCCATCACCAACAGCAGTAGCAGCAGTAGCAGTAGCAGAACCAGGCGACACAGCAGCGGGACGTCGGGGGGCGGCGGCGGGGGGGAGGTGCAGCTACAGCCGCCTCCACCACTAGCTGGTCACTTCATGTTGCGACCGGACATACGACTCGGTGTGTGCGGCGACTGGTGAGGAGGCCTAATCAAGGAGGTTCCCGGCCCTACAACTGTATGTATGTATGTATGTTTGTGTGTAACCCGCACCTGCAGGTTTAGCAGAGCGCTGGGCCCCCTTCGGGTCCTATTACTGCGCTCCCTTTTCACTTTCATATATATGTGGCTGTCGATTGATCTCCAACACCTGCTGTGGTTTTATTGGTGCTGCAATACCACCTTAATCAGTAGTAATCGGTGGTTGTGAATCTCCAACGCCCTGTCGATTCTGTCTCGCGCCATGCAGGTGCAAGGGACCTCGGGCGGCAAATGCCTACATGACGGGCTGGGAGGCGGCAACTGCAGTATTACTGCAGCTGTGACGGTGCGAGAGCCTTCACCTCACGGATGGAGGTGGAGGGGGCGTGCGGTTGTTAGTTAGCGGCGGTTGGTCTGCTGGCTGCTTGCTGGGTAGTTTGCATGTGGCGGTGTGGAGAGCAGTAGCCGGTGGAGCAGCCCTTACATTCAAATAGTGAAATGTTTGTTTAATACCATTTTCATGATAGATATCTTTCCTATAGCGTGGTGCATGCATGTATGTTGTTACAGGGTGGTTAACTTCGCCAGCGGCCCCCTTTCCCGGGGCAGTCCCTGCTCTCCCCTGCTAGAGGGGCACCCTAATCCGTCACCCCATCCGACTTCAGAATGTATTCGTTGGGTTCGGCAACTCACCACCAGCATCCAACCAAATCTAGCGGATCAACGGCGCCTCAACTTAGTTCCTGGTCAGCTCGCAAGTTGATATTATCACGTCCTACACCGTCCATAAGATGGGGGGCCACCTCCCATTTCATCACTCCTCAAACACCCGAGGAGTCGGCAGGCGGATTTGAACCCGGGTCGACTGGGTCAACTGGGAGCAGAAGTCAGGCCTTAACCTCTGCCAGCCGCCTGCCTGTATGCATGTATGTATGTATGATACAGGAGGCTAACAACGTACAGAGCCACAAGCTCGATTGCTGGCTGGTAGGTAGAGCTCCACACACATTACAGGACGCACGCTGCATGTTGTGACAGATTTTCATATATATATACGACGTGGATGGGAGAGCAGGATGTCGGAATCCCAAACAAAACTCGCACACCATACCCCATACACCACCCAATGGGAGCTCAACTGCCAAAACGAAATGACGGAGGTAAGGCAGTAAAGCTCGGAGCAAACGCCGTTAGCAAACAAAGTTCCCTGTGTTACAGTGTACGGCAGTCCGTTGTGGCCCACGTCGGCCCCCTACCACCGTCTGCTGGTGACTACAGCTCGCTGATGTACCTACTAAAGGCCAGCATCAGCCAATATCAGCCGATAACCCCAGGCGGAGAGGTTGACTAAGAGCTTCATCCCTTGCCAAGTAAAGAACCTCATCAGCAGTCCTGACGAAGCCGCGATCAAGACGAAACAGCCAGCATGCAGGGGGGGAAGGGAAAAGCACGGAGAGCAGGAGAGGTGTGGCGCGGGCGAGAGGAGACGTAAGAACCGTATCAACACGGGGGCATTGGTACGGTGGGTAATGAACGGCTGTGCTAGAGCCATATGAAGAAAAGAAAAGCGTGGCGGGTGTTGCGCAAATGCTGTAACTCCACCTACCAGTCCACCGCCGCCCCGTCCCCACAACAAACTAAAGGATCCTGGCCCCCTCACATGCACACACACACACACACACACACACACAACCGTACCTTCAGTCTTGCTATCGCCGCCGTCAGCTCGTCAATCGCGAGGTCGTCCTCCTCCTCCTCCATGGCGGCACTAACACCATCCGGGACCTGCCCGCCGCCGCCGCCGCCGCCACCACCAGCACCAGCTTCATCGCCCTGCGGTCCACCGTCGGCCTCGCCTCCTCCTCCTCCTCCTGCACTGCCATGCCCTCCGTTGAAGTCCAGCTCCCCCAGCCATCGGGCTCCAGGGAACGCCGACCTGCGAGGCACCAACCACACGGCGTCGTACTTGCTACGCAGTTCGTACTCGCTGTACGGTAGTTTACAAACTATTGTAACATGTCACGCCTTCATAAGCGACGCTGCCTTCCAACGAGCACCACCCACCAGTGCTGGTAGTAACCACACCGCTACCTTGCGCAGCTCCCCCATCGCAGCTACAGCCTAGCGACATTGCACATCAGCCACCGTCATCACTTCCCCTTCCCCCCTCCTAGACAGACCCCTCACAGCGCCCCACCAGCCACTGGCAGGTAGGTAGGTAGGTAGACATCTAGATAGGTAGGTAGATAGGTAGGTAGGTAGGTAGGTAGACAGGAAGCTAAGGACTGCGGCGCCGTGTTCGACAACAAACTACACGCACAGACAGACAAACTCGCACAATCGCTCGTATACCGGCATCTCATTCGCACATGCCACCCATGCACACAAAAGCACGCATACGCAACTCACCCGCCACATCCTACTCCGCGGCGCAGTTCGTAACCCTAAGCCCCACACGCACCGGAATGCCGCCTCCGTCGCCCGCAGCTCTCGCATGTAGCCCGCCAGGCCCCCGTCAGGCCCAGGAAGAGCCACCACACAACCCGGAAGACATCGACCTGCTGCTGTTGGTGGTGCTGTTGGTGGTGCTGCTGTTGATGGTGGTGCTGATGATGACGACGATGATAATGACGATGTGGCGGCGGCAGGGGTAGGCGCAGCAGCAGCGACGACAAGTGGTACAGTGGTGGTGGCGGCGGCCGCGGCGGCGACTGCAGCGGATGTAGCGGTGGGGTTTAGAAGTACGGGCTGTCGATAGAACCAGGCGCGGAGCGCCCGCGGCCGTTGCGGTGAAGGTGGCGGTGAGGACGAGGGCCAGGACGCGGGGGCCGGAGGGGGGTGGTGAGTCACGTCCCGCAGCGCCGACGTGTCGGCCAGACAGCTCAGGGTGGGCCACAGATCGTCGTACGGCGAGTCTGACGTGGCAGGCGTACTGAGGTACAATAGAAACCTGGGGAGGAGGAGGAGGAGCAGGTCAGGAATAAGGTATAAAAAGGGTAATCCTCGTTGGGCGTGAGGATGTGCGGAGACGAGGTGCGGAATTCCCTG